GCCTCACCACTCTGCCAGGAGAGAAATTCTTCCCAATATCCAGTCTAAACCTCCCCTGGTGCAGCTTCAGCCCATTTCCTCTCTTCCTCTCACTAGTTACCTGGGAGAAGTAACGAAGCTTCTCTCCCCAGGAGACAATTCAAATGTACAAATTATATTAATACAATCCTGAAATTACTCCAGATTTAAAGAGGACAAGCCTTAGCCTCTATTACCACAGCATTAGAGCACTAAGTGTGGTTATGAAACCAGGAGCTGTAGGATGAGGAGAATTTTGAGACAGTCAAGAGTGAGCCCTGAAACAAGACTTGAATTGACAGGATCTGGAGTGTGTGGGGAGCAATGTTCAATCCCAGGAACTGCTCAGTGCTTGGAAGGGGAGAGGTTGGAGCAGGGTGTTGGTGTGAACTGAAGCTGGAAAGAAGTGTACAGATCCAGGGATGAGCTTGGGAATGGGAGGAAGGACCAGAAGCAGTGTCTCAAGTGTTTTCCTCCTGCTACCTGCTGCCTTAAATGGGGGTCTCTTTGCAGGAAGCCTACCTGGAGTATCTCTTCACGCCTGGCAGGTTCACAAACGCAGCCATCCAGAAGGCTCTGCAGGTTTGTGAGGGGGAGTTTGGTGTCTGCTCTGCTCAACAACTCCCCCCTGACCCTTTAGATGGGAGGCAGCAGGACTCTGGAGCTCTTGGGGGGTGTCACTTTGGGTTTGACAGCTGGAGGCCTGGCAGTAGTCACTGAAGCAAGTTAGTGGCAGTTGTGCCATGCTCCAGCTGGTGTGTGCTGATGGTGGGAGGCAGAACATGGTTTCCAGAAGAATTTTTGAGGGTTTTTTTTCCCCCCTTAGATAGCACAACAGGTTGCTGAGGTAGCTTCTCACTGCCTGGTGCTGTTGCCAGGTGAATGGACACTCACCCTGCTGTTCCTCAGTATATACCTGCTCAGCTCTGGGGCTGTTAGGGGCAGAGGAAGGTACCACAGGGCACCTTTTCAGATAAAACCAGAAAACCCAAACCTCTGCTGCTCTGACAGTGTTGATTCTTTGTGCTGGGACCTTACGGGGGCCGACAGCCAAGCGAGAGCTGCTGCAGAGGTGTGCAGTGCTTCTGACATCCCAGTGCTCTGCCTCCTGGGAGCCTTCCTCCTTTTCCAGAGGAGGAGGGGAGCTGGCTGCACGCCCACATGCCCCCCAGGCAGCAGCCAGCAGTGGGTTGGAGTACTTCAGTCCCACACGGTGCTGTCGTGTTTGCTTTCTGTCACTGCGCCTCGGGGAGGCAGCTCCCTTCCTTTCAGATAACAGTTTGCTGGGCTGCTTTTCAGATCTTTTCTCAAGGAACTGAGAGACACGTGGATCTGACGTGGGATGAGTTAAAAAAGGAGGTTACCTTGGCTGTGGAAAGCGAGGTGAGATCCCCTGCCCATATTTTGTTCTTACATTCCTTGTATACACCACGATGGTTGAGTGAAATGCAACACGAAACAAAACACCCCCAGGCCTTGTTTTGTCTTTTCTCTCCCCAAAGAAGTGATGTGACTTTTTAAATAAGTACAAATCTTCATCCTTCCTGCCTGGCTTTTCCATTCCCCTTCTTTTTTTGGGAGTCCTTTCATGGTGTCCTGCTGTCTCTGGGTGTGTTTTGCTGGCCATGCATCGTGTGCTGCCTGCTCTCAGTTCCCTGCCCACCACCACACAGGGCTGCTGCTTGGAATTTTGGACACCAGATCATCTCCTTAGGGGGGACCTATCTGGAAGATAACTGGCTGTCCTTTTGAGTCTGAATTTCCTCCATTTTATCCTCCTCCTGAAGATCTTTCTGACTCTCCAACCCAGCCATCCTTCCACCTGCAGCTCATCCTTGAAGCTGCTCAGGCTGTCACTAAAAAGTTGACTAAAAAAGGTGGTTTTGTGGCTCTGTAGCAATAGTCACATGTGATTTTTTAAAGAGATGTGCAGTGCTGCCCTTTTTCTTGACATCACTGGTGCTTCTTTACTTGAGGTTGTATAGAAATGGTTCTTGTGGGCTTTGCTTCCCTCTCTGTTTGCTGTGTGATTCACAGCTGGTCAAAACCCCCACATTTTGAGAGGAAGGTGGTGGGAAAGAAAACTTTTAAGTGGTGTGTTTAAACTGTACCTGTGTGAAGATGGGACACAGACAGCAGCCTGAACACTACAGTTTGCATAGAATTAGGGAATTGTTTGGGTTGGAAGAGACCTTCAAGACTGAGTCCAACCAGCCCCCAGCCCTGCCAGGTCCCCACTGCCCCGTGTCCCTCACCCCACATCTCCAGGGCTTGGAAACCCCTCCAGGGGTGGGGACTCCACCACGGCCCTGGGCAGCCTGGCACCGCCCTGGGCAACCCTCCAGGGCAAGCAATGGTTCCTCAGGGCCAACCTCAATCTCCCCTGGGGCATCCTGAGGCCCTTTTCCCTCCCTCCAGGCTCCTGTCAGGAGCTGTGCAGAGCCAGAAGGTCTCCCCTGAGCCTCCTTTGCTCCAGGCTCAGCACCCCCAGCTCCCTCAGCTGCTCCTCCCCACTCTTGGTCTCTCTGGTTGCCCTGACATTGTGTTTTGGTCTTGCTAGTTCCAGAACAGTGTGACAGAGTACGAGTGCTCACTGGAGGAGTTCTGGCAGCTGCAGGTGGAGTTCTGGTCCAAGTTCTATGCCTGCTGCCTTCAGTACCAGGAAGCTCTCTCGCGGCCGCTGGCGCTGCACCTGAACCCCTACACCAACATGGTGTGCCTGCTGAAGAAGGTGAGGCTGAGAGGGATCTCTGGGGAGGAGTTCTGACCAAGGTGTGGCTTTAGGGAACTCAAAGAAGGGCTTTCTCCTTGCCTTTCTAGGGCTCCCTGTCTTTCCTGGTGCCCTGCTCCTTGGTGGACCATCTCTATCTCCTCTCCAGTGAGCACCTCCTGACTGAGGATGATGCTGCCATCTTTGATGGTAAGTGAGGAGACCTGGAGCTCTTTCACTGCTGGAGGCTGTCATGCTGCCTCTCAGAGAAGCTCTGGGCAGAGGGATGTGAGGGTTTCCATAGAGGCTTCTTCAAGTGCTCACAATCCACAGTTGTCTACCTGGAGATCTTTTCTTATTTGGGCATTTGGAAGGAGTTTTATTTTGTGAAACTTGCCACTGTGCTCATGCCAGGGATGAGAAAACGTTGTGGAGGCTGCAAATCTGCAGTGACTTATTTCAGATAACCTAAAAAGGTTGAATTTTAGATTGCAGGCTGCTTGGTGGCGAGGACCTTTGGTGGATCCTCTGCCCATGTGGCTTTACAAACTACCTGTGTAGGCTGCAGTTAACTGGTGCCCTCTTCACACCCACTTTATGGGGCAGATCTGCCAGGTTGGAGCTCTGTAGCCTGCTGGCCAGACCCTGGAGCTGGTTCAGACAGCAGGATGCAGCAGCTCATATTTCTGCACAAAATGGTTCTGAAATGAACCTTGTTTAATGTTCTCTCAGCTGGGTGCCCTCTCAGCTTTACCACCCCCTCTGAGAGCCACAGGACCTCTTGTAAAACTCCCAACCTGTGTCTTGCTGATGGAGTAAACTCTGAGATTATAAAGGAGCAGGAAACTTGGGACTCTCCAACCCCACCAATCTCAACTGCTCCATCTGCAAGTGGAGTGTTCAGTGTGGGGTTTCTGGATAAATGTTTTCGTGTGAGCTGGGGGGAGAGGGACTGTGCTGGTTCTTGTCCCCAGGAAGTCCATGCCCCAGTAAGTGTCTTTCATGCTGTCACCAGGGTGCCCTCGAGGCTGTGCTGGCCCTGGAATGACGTTTCACCAGCAAAAGGCAACGGAAAATGTTACTTAAGCTCCATTTTCATGCTGGAGTGGTTTTAATGTTTTTCTAAAGAAGAATCATCATCCATTTGGTCGAGCTATTTCTGGCTCTGAGGGAAAGCAAGCCGGAGGCCTGGCTGGGGTTGGGAGGCCAGCAGTTCCTGCCCCTGGCTGCTTCCAGTGCCTCCAAAAATGCAACTTCATTTAAAAAACACATATATTGAGGATGGCATTTTAAAGCAGTGACTGAAACCCTCAGTGCTGTGTTTTCAACTCGCTTCTAAGAATGTGAAAATCCTCTCTGGGCCCTGAGAGGTGGTGCTGCTGTAACACGAGTGTGCTGGGCCTGGCAGAACTAAGCTGCCCCAGCCCATTGCTTACACCACCCTAATTATTTCCTTTCAACCTGTGGCTGGAGCAAATCCCTCGGAGGGAATTTCATGGGTTTATATTTTTTTTTTACTTTCCAAGTAATAAAGCCCAGATCTTTCCCTCATCAACTCTTTTAAGTTTGAATTTGGCCTCGTGGTTAGCAGGGAAGGGGCAGTTTGACACGTGGGACCGTGAGACCAATCTGCTGCTGGTAGTTTGCTGGTAGGAGGTGAACTAACTGGTCTTTGAATGGTCCTTTCCACCTTTGCTTTGAAATCTCCTGTGAATACACAGTTAGATTCTTTCATTGCAGATTTGGAGATGTCTCGTGATGTTGTCTGTCTTGTCCAGTGCCTTCGCCTGATCGGAGAATCAATTTCCATGGAAATGGCATTCATCATGGAAATGGCATGCTCACGCCTCCAGCCTCCAGAAAAGGCTGCAGAGCAGATCCTGGAGGACTTGATAGCTAACGACACGTAAGGAGACAGGATTTTGCAGGGATTGCCTGCAGCTGAGGGGCATCGGGGTGATTTTGGGATGCACGGGCACTCCCTGTGCTGCCGAAGAGGTCTCCAGATGTTAAGCAGGGTTCTCCACCCAGAGCTCCCTTGCTGTTGCCTTAGGGCCCTCTTGAACAAGCATTTTAGGGATTCTCAGGTGAGACAGAGAGCAGAAGAGAACACCTGCCACCATCTCCTGACAGGAAGGGTGGAAAGCAGGTCTGCAGACGTTAGGTGGAGGTCAGAACCTCGGTGGAGGCATGTGGTTACTGTGCTCTCCTCCTGAAATCATTCCCCTGTGGAATGCCAGCCATCTGACTGCTATTTCCTGCTAGCCTGGGGGAGTGGAATAAATAGCCTGGTGCCTGCAGGCGTTGTAATAAAACTCCTCAGCCAGAAGAGGATTCCCATCAGGAATGTCTGACCTGATCAGCTCTGATGATCAGCTCAGCTCAGACATTCCTGATGGGAATCCTCTTCCGCCTTCCAGAGAGGATCAGAAAAGGAGGAAGGGGAGCCCTCTTCAGTTGAAACCTCACGTTGCTGCTGCTGATTTGTTCCCTTTTCCACTTGGCAGGGAAAATGTGATGGAGGATATACACAGCAAACTGCAGGAGATCCGGAACCCCGTCCACGCCATCGGAGCGCTCATCCGGGAGATGGACTATGAGACAGAGGCAGACACAGAAAGAGGTGAGAGCTCCAGTGTGGGACATCAGGGCTGGGAGAGCAACAGCTCCACGAGCTTCCCCATCTCCTCATTGCCTCAATTTACCTCGGGGACTTTCTCTTCCAGCTCATCACCTCCCCATGAGGCTGAACCTCAGCCAGCTGTACGGCAGCGGTACCGCCGTGGGCGTGGTGTGCTGGGGCGTGTCCAAAATTGCCACCATCCGTTTCCTGCTCTGCAGGGACCTGCTGGTCCTCCAGCAGCTGGTCCTGAGGCTCGGAGATCCTGTGAGTACAGCCCTCCAGGCTGCTGCTGCCTGCTTTGAACTCGGGGCTCGGCTGGTGCCAGCCTGTGAGCTCTTGTCTCTCTTCCCACAAAGCACTAGAGGCTGGTTGAGCCCCAGGCTTGGGCCGAGCCCTGTTCTCTGCTCTTTTGTCCTGCTAAGCAAAGCAGCAGGGTGCTCGCACCCCAGCTCCCTCTTTCCATGCTGAGCACCCCAGAAGCAGGAGGAGAACCTCTCTGTGGGGAGCAGGGTGGTGTTCCCAGCCTGAGACAGCTCTGCTGGAGCACGTGCAGCCCTGTCCCTCATCCCTGCCAGGCCACGGGTGCACATGGTCATGGAATCATAGACTCTGGGTTGGAAGAGACCTTTCAGATCCTTGAGTCCAACCATCCCCCCAGCCCTGCCACGTCCC